ACACTGTGACGTTTGACTTATTTCCAAAGTCAACGAACACTGATAACCAGTGCAAATTTTAATCCAATATACCATGTGGTCCTATTGTGGTTTTATGTCAAATGCTCTTTCATTTTCAAGATGAGCTCGCTCGCATCAATCAAACACGTCCTGGTTGATGTTCGTTTACTACGCTCAATCCGGATATTGTGGCTACACAAATGCCAATAAAAATAATCAATTATAATCAGCTATTCGCTTAGTTAATTTTGAAATATTTAAATTGTTCAGATCAGACAAATTGACAACAAAAATTGCGTTGTAAAAAGTCACTATGAGATATTGCTGATGAAGGTATGCGAAGGGGTGGCAAGGTCATCCAACGCGGCTTCTCTTTCATCTACGCAGTTCTAGGCTTCTCTGGACTTCCCCAATACTTTCGTTCTCACGCCGATGAAGGACAGGTCAGGTTGATTGGAAATGGAAAGAAGTTGTAAAAGGTGCTTGTCATATTATGATAGTCTCTATTCATTTAGGGCTTATAAGGGTGTTGTTAAGTTAGGGAAAGCAGACGCGGTGGCGTTCTTTTGAAGATATTGACCGCCCTGGTGGCAAGTCCCGCACCCGTGGACTTTCCCCGAGGCTTCGGTTCTCACAGTGATGCACGTCCAGAGAATTGTAAATTAAAACTGATTTATATAAGTTCCTCGTTATTTTTACGATAGTACCTTACCTATTCGGTGAAGGTTTTTAGGGGTGTTCTTAAGTAAGAGAATAGGGATGACAGACACGGTGGCGTTCTTTAGAAGTGGTAGGTCCCGCTCCCATCAACTTAAATATTTGAAGGTGTTCAGTATTTCGTATAAGTATTCTATGTAATATTATTTGTCAGGTAACTCAGCACTGCTTTATCTCGATTTTCTATCGTTATCCCTTCCACAGAGATAGAGAGAGGTCCCGTTATTCTATAACATTACTTGCTTAGAGGGGTCAAAGTATTCCCTCATTGGTGAACTAAAATATAGCCATACATTTATTGGTCGAGACGGTCATGTGACCACTGGACGCGTCCATTCCCGAAACCCACAAGCGTCAGTCTTTCTGAAAAGCTCCTTGATGTAACACTCCGTCCGGTTCATCAAGTATTTAATTTTTTTTTACTCATAGTCCAGTCAATAAAGGGATTGTAGAGGACATGGAGAGGGGGAAATTTTTTTTCTGCGGGAATGTGTTCGGGGTAGTTAGAAGGTAAAAATACCAAAAGTCCCCACCCCTGGCCCTGCTGCTTCAGCGGGGGGAGGGGGGGAAAGACCCCATTTTTTAGTTTTTTACTTCTACACTGAAAACCGTGCATCGTACGGAAAAAATGTAAATTATGAAAAGAAAGATGATAAAATTCTCTACAAGAATGGTCATATTCATTTCTTATGTATATGCATTAGTTTTAAAGATATTTTCAAAATAAGATAAAAATTATTTTCTAAATTGATTTTTCAGAGGTTTTTTTTCAAATAAATTCATATAATCGATTAGCCTGCTGTTGTTTTACACTAATAAGGATAGAAAACAGGTTTTGGAGCACAAACCTATATAATATAATATATCCATCGTATATATTGTGTTAAAAATAGTTTTTATAAATTTAAAAAAGTTTTGTATATTTGTCATGGAAACAAGTAATTTTGGCATAATTATTACACTAAAAATGAAAACTATTATGTTTGCAGCTACATTTGTCCAGGTTTATTTATAACAACTACCGAAACCAAGACTTTTAATACTATTGTTCGTGATCTGACTCACTTGGGACGAGAGGGTCCGACTTCTGTCCCAAAAACAGGTGCCATCTGGAACTGGAACTGAGAACCACCATCTAGGACATCTCCATCATTCAATTCTTGTTGATAAGACTCAATATTGGCTATCGAAGTGATAATGCGGTGTAGGCCTATATATTCTTCATCTTCCTCATTCATCAGAATGGGTATTCCATGTAAAAAGTTCCCTTAGCAGTTCTGGCATAACGGCCAACGAGGAACAATTAATGGACATTTCATTGCATGCACATCTTTTATTGCTACAATCTTTAGTATATTTGCAAAAAAACATTCTCAACATTTCTCGTGGGTTAGGTGGTTCGTTGGTTAAAAATGGGAACAGATTACCTTTTTGCGCTCCCAGCCCCACATTTTTGAGGGTAGTTGGTAGTTGGTTTTCCAAACAGAGTTGTCCTTGATGAAATGATACAAATGATGAAATGTCATATATTTCTAAACTGACAGCAATGTTTTAAAATTACCCACTCTTCCCTGAAACTCAAGACATTATGTCAATAGCATCTGGGGTTGTAGGAGATGAATCTGTTAACTGTTACGATGCTCTATTATGTGGTCAGCAAGTAATTAATCAAATGGTAATCATTTTCGGACAACAAGCTGTCACGGGAAAATATGGCTCTCCCTTTGTCTTCTGTGAGTTCAACCATTGATATTGCAATGATTAAAATGTTGTAGCAAAACCTTTAATTCTGTTTCAAAGGATTTGTATAAGTTAAAAAAAGTTATCAAGATTTAAAGGATTGTTACGATTTGAACTTGCTCCGAACTTGCTCCGTTTCCATTTATTTATTGAGAGTAGTATGATAAAGACCAAAAAGGCTGCTCTGTTCAATACCATAGCAATAAAAAAAACAGCACGAATATGGTAGACCAAGAAAGACGCTACAGATTGGAAAAAGTCAGTAGCAGTGGCGGTCCCAGCATTTAATTTGGAAGTTAAAGCATAATAACGTATAGTTTTATAGTATTTCAGCTCTAAAATATCTTCAAGCTACTAGTATTTATGTTAGGTTATAAAATATTTTGGAGAGGATACACCCCCCCCCCCCACACCAGGGACCGCCACTGGTCAGTAAGTATTCATTTGAACAGCGACACCGAAATTATAGTAACCAGGAACAGTTAATCTCTTAAAACTAACAGTGTCACATGCGAAATTTGTGCATGCAAGAAAATGTCCAATTGTTTCCCGTTATGCCAGAACTGCTAAGGGAACTTTATACATGGAATGCCCATTCTGATGAATGGAGAGGATGAAGAATATATAGGCCTACACCGCATTATCACTTTGATAGCCAATATTGAGTCTAATCAACAAGAATTGAATGATGGAGATGTCCTAGATGGTGGTTCTCAGTTCCAGTTCCAGATGGCACCTGTTTTTGGGACAGAAGTCGGACCCTCTCGTCCCAAGTGAGTCAGATCACGAACAATAGTATTAAAAGTCTTGGTTTCGGTAGTTGTTATAAATAAACCTGGACAAATGTAGCTGCAAACATAATAGTTTTCATTTTTAGTGTAATAATTATGCCAAAATTACTTGTTTCCATGACAAATATACAAAACTTTTTTAAATTTATAAAAACTATTTTTAACACAATATATACGATGGATATATTATATTATATAGGTTTGTGCTCCAAAACCTGTTTTCTATCCTTATTAGTGTAAAACAACAGCAGGCTAATCGATTATATGAATTTATTTGAAAAAAAAACCTCTGAAAAATCAATTTAGAAAATAATTTTTATCTTATTTTGAAAATATCTTTAAAACTAATGCATATACATAAGAAATGAATATGACCATTCTTGTAGAGAATTTTATCATCTTTCTTTTTATAATTTACATTTTTTCCGTACGATGCACGGTTTTCAGTGTAGAAGTAAAAAACTAAAAAATGGGGTCTTTCCCCCCCTCCCCCCGCTGAAGCAGCAGGGCCAGGGGCGGGGACTTTTGGTATTTTTACCTTCTAACTACCCCGAACACATTCCCGCAGAAAAAAAATTTCCCCCTCTCCATGTCCTCTACACCCCTCTTTTGAGCCTTCATTGACTGGACTATTATTGATATTGACAGACAGGGGAACAGTGGAATATGGGCATGAGAAAGTGGAATATCGACTCGACGTTCTGTACCCACGAGCACCTCAGCTTCCACATGCACAGGATAACAGCTATTTGTGTAATAGCTTCACTGTATACTTTAATTGGACCTGTTTAGATAGTTGTTTCGTTTCAACAGTTGCAGTTTGCAGTTGCGAACTGTGCATTGTGATTTTAAGGTGTTTATTCTTTACTGTTTGTTTATTTTTGACTTGAGCTGCTTGAAAAGGTGTTTTGTGATTATGAAAATTAAAATGTTGTGAGTGAGCTGAGGCTGATTATTTGTTATTAGGTATTAACAATTAAATATTTTGCGTGCATGAATTATTTATGAAGTTTTAAATGTTCACTTAACCTATCTTTTTCGGATTCCTCAAAAGAAAGAGTGATTGTTAATGTTAGGTTGAGTTGCGTGTGTGTGTGAATTTGTTTTGTTAGGTTGGAGTTTTGGTAGTGGTAGGTCTAGGTTTATTTTGATTAAGTTAGTTGGGCCTTTCAGTGGAGTTTAGGTCTAAGTTATTGCCTTTGAAAAAGTTAAATTAATAACTTATCTATTAATAAGAGTATGCCTAAGTTAAGTTTACCTTAGAGGCTAACTTAGACCTACCACTACCAAAACTGCAATCTAACAAATTCACACACAAACAAACACCTAATTTAACCTAACAATCACTCTCTCTTGAGGAATCCGAAAAATATAGGTTAAGTAAGCATTTAAATCTTCATAATTAATTCATGCACGCAAAACATTTAGGCTAATTGTCAATACCTAATAACAAATCAGCTTCAGCACACTCACAAAACGTTAATTTTCATAATCATAAACACCTTTTCAAGCAGCTCAAGTCAAAAGTAAACAAACAGTTAAGATTAAAGAATAAACACCTTTTCAAAATCACAATGCACAGTTCGCAACTGTAACTGTTGAAAAAAAAACAACTATCTAAACAGAAACAGGTCCAATAAAGATATACGGTGAAACTATTACACAAATACCTGTTATCCCAGGAACTGTTCGAAGTCCTTCTGTGCTTGTGGAAGCTGAGATGCTCGTGGGTACAGAACGTCGAGTGGAATATCGAATAATGGGCCTGACGGATCGCAGAATTTTATGTTTGTTTTTGTTATAGTTGTATCTGAGGTTAGTGAGGTTCAATCGATTCGATTCAATCGTATTCTGTCCGACGTAGCGAACCTAGGCTATCCAATTATCAATGTTATCATTGTTGACAAATTCCATTCTATTGTTATTCTAGGTTATTGTTTTTATCACAACTGAGATCATGTTTTTAATTAGGCCTAGTTTTGGTCTGGGGCAATATTTTTAACTCATATGTTACTGACCTGTTTGTTCTCATGTAGCAAACTATCATTTTAGCCTATATCAAGCACACGCACCCTGTTATTTATTAGTGCAGGTAACTTTAATATACTTACAACTTAACCACTAATTTATCGTGTTGAGATTAGGTTAAGGTTAAGATTAGTTGGTTAAGGTTAGGTTCAATTTAGAACAGTTTCATTTTATTTATAATCAGCTGGTAATGTATAATGTATAATAGTAAATGTAGGACGTAAACTAAAGTGCAACCAAATAAGCACAAAGAAGGGCTGCACTTTACCTCCTACACTCTTTCGAATGAAAATATCGATCGATGTATCGATTGTTTGATATATAATTTGATTAGTTCGGTAAGGTTAACCTAACCTAACTAATCAAACGATATATCGAATGAAACAAACGATAAATCAATATTTTCATTCGGATGTTTCATTCTAATGAGTGTAGGGTGTAAAGTAAAGTGCAGCCCAAAGAAGTAAAATACAGAGGATACATTCAATGGTACTCTTAAGTGGGGTCTAGCACCAGTCACTGGTATCAAGAGGAAATTCTACTTGTCGTCCCCTTCCGCTCTCCTTTCCCCTCTCGTCATCATGTAGGCCTACTACAGCGCAGTAGGTTGGAAGACCCCGTTTTAACAACTGCTGTTAAAATGGCCATCACCGTTCAAGCTCTTCTTTGCTAATGTAGATACCATACTAGTACATTTCCACCTCACCATACCAGAGCTATAAGCGCACAGTTGTCCCATAAGCTTTATATATCCTCTGCTTGTATATCCTCTGTATTTTACTTCTCCTTGCAGTAATTTATATCTGACTCTTTAACCTCCGGCAGTTGTTGTAATAGAAGACAGTCGTGATTAGCAGCAAACTGAACTGTTCACAAAATAAATAAAAAGTATATTTCAGGACAAATTGTGTTAAAATAGTTAAGGTTCAAACACTGATGTATTTTTAATATAATTTTTTGACACTATTTATATGTACCTATGTGCATGAAATAAATAAAGAATTTTTGATTTGATTTGATTTGAAACTAATTTCATAACAGAAAACAAGTAAAAAAACCTATCACTAGGATTGCCAATTTACAGTTTATAATTTTAGCTTATGGGGAAAGAGAAAGTCTGTGGACGACTGGGCCTTAGGCCTACAAATACAAATCAAATTAAAACTCTTTCGGTATTCCCATAAGACAATACAATTACCCTACAGTATGAAATACAGTAAGTGAAAATGCATAGGCATCGTCTGAGGCATACATTTCTGACTCTCATACAGCTCACAGCTGTGGCGTTCCTTAGGGATATATTTATTCATTGACTTCCGACAGGAAATTGCCAGTACATACAAGAAATTACAAGAAGTTACGTATGCAATGTTAAAACAAATACTGTAGGCTTTTCAGTAAGTTTAACAAGTGAAAACTATAAATAGCAACAACGATTAGACATTAGGCCTATAGCAAGAGTTAACAAAAGCTAGGTATAAATGAACAATAAATTGTGCAAAACCAATGACTAAATCAATGTAGTGATCAGACAATGATATGAATATGAAAAGGATGTGGTGAAAAAATGTAATAACACAACTAGCTAACAGGCATGACAGTGAGAGAAATAGGCCTATGGTGGTAACATGGGATGAGCTAGAATCCAGAATTGCTGCACTAAAATTTAATTACACTAGAAACCAACAAACAAATAAATATACATTAGAATACTACTTTAGTTTTGTCCATTTTCTCTTCAAGGATTTCAGGCTACTGCAGAATAGGTCCACATTGGCAAGAAAAGAATTGCCAAGTAGATGTAGTTGAGCCACAGGTCAAAACTTCACGTAAGTAGTTGGTTCAATAGTGCATTTGAGCGAAGAGATCTCTTGACCTGGTAAGTTAGTTATATTCTGAGATTAATGGAGGCAAGCAAGTACGAACACTCGGGAGCTCCATTTATCAGTTTGTAGTGGAATCCCGTATCAGAGAGCTCACGATCAACCTCTAGAAGACACAGTTCAAGATGTTTCATCAGGTCTTCCAGTGGAACTTCGGAAAATGACATTCCCATCATCGGCCCCACATGTCTTACAAATCTCTGTATTCTCTCTAGTCTGACAATGTGATGAAGTCTTAGAAGTGTTTTGTAGAGAGTTGTTATTAAGTGCATAGATAATCCACTTCTAGCTGCATGCGATATCCATCCAAGCAGTCTACCAGCTCTCCTACAAATGACATCAATGGGGCAGAGATAGGCTGAGGTACACGCCTAAACCCATGACATTCTGTACATGTTTTTTTCCAAGTTAGTGTCTAGGATATTGTTATCAGCATGAAAGACAGTTTCAGTCCGATAGAAAGACGTTACCATGCATTTAGTTGCATCATGTTATCTTCACACCATTTTAAGACGCCATCCAGGGAACGCTGTAGAATAGTGCCATCATCATTGTCACTGATTTTACTAAACAACTTAATTTAATCCGCAAAGAGCAGGAAATTACTCTCAATAGCCTCGCCTATGTCATTAACAAACAGATTGAAAAGTCAATGTCCTAAAAGGGAGCCTTGGAGGACTCCTGACATAACAGAAAAGGGGTCAGAGTAGCCTCCACCAATCTTGATGATTGAGGATCTTCCTGTTAGGTAGCTCTTAAGCTAAGGTAGTAAAGGGTCGCATATTCCATAAGATTCAAGCTAAGGGGTGGGTACATTGGTGGGCCAGGCAAAAATTTGGATTAGGCCTATCAAGAGTTTTGAATTATTAAGATGTTAAATCTTTTGGAAGAAATATAAACCATTCAAATTAAAGAGTTTTTTTATGCGGAAATAGAGTGGAAATTTCATGTTATTTTGCTTGTGCCTTGGCTTTTTTTTTTTATCAAACCTCCTACCTTCTTACGGTCGCCATTTCAAGTAAAAGTATTATTAGTAGGCCTATTTTCACTTCTACATATATTATCTCAACCACTTAACTAAACAGTCTTCTAGTCTAGGATATTCACCTTTTGTGGTCCTTTTTCTTCTCGTAACGGCATTCACTCCAACAATTTTGTTTTTTTTTTCTAAAAAACCGTTGAAAAGCTTTTGCAACCTCTGACTCTACTCGTACCACTTTCTCCTGCCGTGATAACTTTTTCCTGCAATCAAAAGGGACTTGTATTTAAGCTTAATTTCCGTGACAATACAATAAATTCTGCAAATTCAGCTTTGGCCACTCACAACAAACAGCTTTAAAGAAAAGAACACAGCGAACTACAAAACTTATTGTGCAAGCAATCACTGCCAATCATATGATTACTGCTCAAACTAACCACCAAACCTACTGTGTTGCGTATGCCTAAGAAGGCGTTTTTAATGGAGTGGACTGTATATGAGGGGATGCACTTAAGAGCAATTGACTTTCCTTCCTGGCAAAACTTTTTCAACGGCTGCAGACTTGATAAAAAGTTTAGGCTCCTTGAAATCAGATCTCATCATAATTAATACAGGATTTTGATGAACCATAACAACGCATCTAAACACATACACTGACATAACTACACTAATCATAACTACATACGGTATCACGTACTGTTATGGAGTTCATGTTTTGGGGCCTGAAATTGGAATTGCATAATTTTTTACCAACAAAGCAGGACTAGGCTATGAATGTGGTCAAATGTGGTCAAATTCACTACAATTATGGTCCACTCCATCCACGAAATACATGCACAACTTAATATAATTGATACGGCCGAGGCAATGGGCCCTCGCTTGTCAATAAAGTTCAAATTTCACAGGCACCTCAACCTCATGGCCAGATTTAATAAAATTATGCCAGAAGTTAATCAATTAGCAAAGAAGTACAGGGTGATGGCTGATGTGGCAAGAGGAGGAATCAAAATTGCACAGCGTAAAAATAGACCCCAATCGAAGTAAGAATTTTACTGCTTTCTGGAGAAACAGATATTTTGATCAAATACAAAAAATATTTAATCGGCCTCAAACTGATAAAAATTATGCATTGTTTATGACCAATGATGGTGATTTACTGATAGGAACCAAATACGATCTGAAAAATTTTCCTAAAGCAGATGGAGCCAGTTGTCAGTAATATTCACTCCCTCCACCAGATCATTGTTAGAAATTTTTTTTATAAGAAATAAAAAATACAGTTAGGAGTAAGCTTATAACTAAACATGGTAGACAGTTTTGTGAAAGTAATAAGAATTTGTTTTTAGATAGACTAAAAAATGAAACCTGGCTGGAAGTGTTTCAATCTCCTGTAGAACAAAAATATGATGTATTTATATATAAAATAATTTTATATTTTAACGAATGTTTTCCAGTGGTCAAAATTAGAAAAAGGATTAACAAGTGTCGCTGGTATAATGTCACTTTAAAAAACGAACAAGATCAAATCATCCAGCTTTATACCAAGGGCAGACTGCTTAAAAATACAAATACTGTAAATGATGCTAAACTAAAAAATAAAACCCTTAGGAAAAAAAATTAACAATGCTAAAAAAGAGTATTTCCAAAACAAAATCAATAACTCGTCTAATGTAGTAAAAACAACATGGAATATAATTAATAAGCAAGTGGGAAACAGGCGTAAAGTAGATAATTGAATGAACGAAGTGAATTCTCATACATGACAAAATGCATCTCGTTGAAACGCAATAGCCTTAGAAATACTATGTATATCCAACTTGAAGTGTTGCACAAAGATTTTATAGCATAATATCTTGAGAATATCAGTTTTTGAAGAATATTTATTCTGTAATAATTATAAAATCTTAAAAAAACCATTTTAATTTTCCCCCATAAGAATAACATTAAGAGCTACCTTCTTCTTCTATTTTTTGTTTACATTTTACAAGCAACAATTTTGTCGTTTATTTGAGACACAGAGAACGACTAAAGTCTCTTGTTTCTTCTGTCCATGGAGTATACAGGTTTGCTTAAGAAATCTTTCATTCTACGGTTTCTAAAAAATAACAATTGGTCTACTAAAAGAAATAGGGAATTTAAAATTCATATTTAATCCACATAAGTTTATTGAAATCGATGAAAATATGTAATTACTTTTTTTTA